GGGGGGGGCATGTGAAAAAATTGGTAAGCTGAGGGGGGGTCATGCGATTTTTAAATGGTGCTTCCCAAATCCCACCAGCCCCCCCTCCCTCCTAAAAAATGAACGGTCCCTAAGGGATCAAATTTTGAAACCTCCCCGACATACATGTAGCTGTATAAAAGTTGTTTTCCGGACAGAAATCATTTTGTGTCGTTTTCTCCTCTCTTCAGATTTTGGCTTACTCTACGTTCAAACGTGAGGGCCCGACCGGTGATTGTTGCGATTTTAAACGCCTCCGGCGTTGCGTGGACGGAAAACACTTGACGCGCTTTCAGAGTGAAACTTCCGTTTTCAAATTCCTCCCGCGTAGCGCGGACGGGGCCTAAGTTTGGTCGCCTTTTATTCAGCGAAAAACTTTGTGAACTTCAGAGCCTGCTGCACGCACGTACCAAAATTATTTTCCGCCCTAATAAACGTCGATCTTTACATGTACTGAACGCAATACGCATTTGAGTCCGCTTAAATAATTTAGTTCGACCGTTGATTCAGAATTCGCAGCTAATGGCGTCGTCTTACTCGACACAAAATCTTTGAGGTAAAATACGTTTTATGTTACATAACCTTAAGGTACGCTTTAGATTCGGCACGTGAGCCGACGTGAGGTTCGACGTCTGAATCGAAGTCGAACTCTTGCCGTTCTATTTGACTGCCGTAGTCGAACAGAACGTCACGGTCGATCGCAAAACAATTGTGTCGATTGTAACTGATTCAGAAGTCGAACTTTCCGTGTACCTAATAGCGAGATCATGGCGAGATTCACCATTAGGTTCGGCACATGTACACGTTTGAATCGGCACTAACACGACTGATTTCAATTTACCGGTAAATGAACCATGAACCAATCAGCTGCAGGGGCGACAATGCTTCAGCAGCCCACTAGAACTCCCAATGGGACGGGCAATCCTGGCACGTGTTAAAAACTTGTTTTTGAATGCGTATTTTTAAACACGCATCCGAAACAAGTGCTATCCTTAAGATTTTAAAAACTTCACTGGACCGGTGTCTGGATGTGCCTGATTCCGAGTGAAAGAAACTGAAATCTTAATTACCGTCGCCGGCTTTACGAGTCATGCAGCACTGAAACTGAAACAGTTTCGAAAGAAGTTCTTTAAGTTTCACGTGCACAAGAAAGAGGTGAAATCTCGTCAATGGAGTCGAGTCGAAATTGTTCAAATTCTTTATTGTGTGGTTCCACCACTCCATCCATCGACGAGAAGGAAGGATGCTTTCTTTTAGACGTGAACTTTGATTCAGCGCAGTACCTCTACGTCGCACACATTTTGACCTCGATCATCAACATTGCCTCCTCCCCGATGGCCGTCGCTGGAAACTTCATCGTGATGTACAGTGTTTGGAAAAGCCCCTCGCTTCACACGCCATCGAACGTCTTCATTTGCTGTCTCGCCTTCAGTGATTTAACGGTTGGTCTGTTGGCGCAACCTTTCTTTGTTATTCACAAGATCGGCGAGATTTCGCGACGCTTCGATATGTACTGCACCACCAGGATTTTGCTCGAGTCGTTGGGAAATGTAACTGCAGGCGCTTCGGTGATCACGATGTCTGGAATGGCCGTGGAAAGGTGTCTTGCCTTGTTTTTCCACTTGCGCTACAACGAAATCGTGACCGCCAGGCGCGTTCTTTTCGCGGTGGCGTGTTTCTGGATGGTTTTCATCGCCCTGGCTGCGTTTCGGATTTCTCTCATGGCCCCAGATATTTACAACAATATTCAGATCGCGATCATTTCGCTGAGTTTGTTTTCTACGTATCTCGCCTACATAAAGATTTTGCAATGCGTTCGGAAACACGAGCGGCGAATTGAGATAGCAGAGATTGAAGTTATCAGGTCATCTCTACAAATGGTGCAAAAGACGGGGCACACGAGGAACATGAAACGCTACAAGAAATCAGCAGTCGCCATGATATTCGTGGTCGGGTTTTTTACAGCGTGTTATCTACCATTCTTGTGCGTTAAATTGGCGCAAAAGGTCTGGGGATACTCGACCCCGGTAAAAACGGCCTATCTGTATGCAACAACGATTGCCTTCCTCAACAGCTCGCTGAACCCTTTCGTTTACTGTTGGAGGATAAACTCTTTGCGACATGCAGTGAAGAAGGTTACAAAAGAGAAACTTTGCAACTAAGTGGCCATAGCCTCTGAAACGTTTTACGAGATAAACACATCGTAACCTTGTTGCGGTTCAAAAGTTCGATTCATGTAAATTGCTTGAGTTTTTTTTTAAGCAGAAATGTTTGGTTCGAAACCAATGACAATTAAGTTTCGATAGTAATAGAAACATTTTTAATTAAGACCGAAAATGGGTTTCACTTTTTTTTGAGGGTTTCATTTTGCTTAACACATCATAACTTGAAGGCTCTTAAAGAATAAGATGATAATCGACTCTGAAACTTTAATTATCTCGTTATTCTAGTTTGAGCAGTTTTACACCGTTTCTGATTGCGGCCTTGTCTCTACAGGCGCCAAACAACTTTCAATGCTAATTTCTGTCTAAGTTTCTTAATAGAGTTAAACAGGTTCATTGTAAACACTTGTTCTAATAAATTCGTAGAATTTTCATGTCCGTTAACTATCGCGCCTCTTGTTATGTTAATCAGCAAGTATTCAAATCTGTCAATACTCCTCAAATTCAAATCTGTCAATACTCCTCTTAATTGAAAACTTCGAAACTTTGTCCACCCCAGGAAATTCACCACCATTTTTACTAATTGCCCTGGCACTTCGCCAGTTCCCACTCATACCTCCAAGGTGAGAATAAGGCCGCGTCCACGGAGAAAACGGAGGTTTCACTCTGAAAACGCATCAAATGTTTTCCGTCCACACTACGCCGGAGAAAATTTTGGATTTGTGATTGAGCAAACCTCGGTCAAGAAAATATCATGACTATCGTAACCTCATCGCAACCTCGTGGGCGGTAAGATGAGAGACCCTGGGAACGAGGTTGACCTCATCGTTTTCGAAAAGTTTCGTTTTCAAAATGCTTTCCGTCCACACTAAAATACAAAGCCGGTTTGAAGAGCGTTTTCGAAAAGCTCCGTTTTCGTGACGGATTAGTGTGGACGGTAGGCCCAACCGTAGAAATAAAGCTGCGTATTCAAATTCGTCTGGCGTAGTGTGGACGAGGTCAAAGATGTATGTTCTGCTCAGGCCACACAATACAGTGACTCAGGTTAGTGTTCGAAGCTAACAATGTCCATATTTTCTCATAATCATATCAAGGCAGATGAATAAATAGTAAACGCAAAACCGCGTGGGGCCAACCCCTCCGTTGAACCAGAAGTATGACCAAGGACATTGAAATGTTGTTTGACAACTTAAAGTCTACTATACTATTGTGCGCTTGGACTTAACCAGGGACGACACTCTTCTTAGCTGCGCGGCAAGGTGGCAAATTCTTCCAAAGCTTTGTTTTGGTACACGAGAACCTATGGACACGGGAAAAAATAATTTTTAGCCTGCGTGTAGTCCTGTATTGAAGAAAATCTTACTTTCCTACTCTTTTATGACTGTACACCGCTTAGTATGTCTTCGAAACATGCGGATTGATTAAAAATAAAGGCCCTCAACAAGTACGGCATTTTTGCTTGAGTTTTCATTTCATTTTATTACTATTATTATTATTTTTTTGGTTACATATTGTCTAGCATTAAGAGCACTGGTTTGGACTGGACTGAATATATGAAATTTGGACTGGATATTTGAAACGTAACGCGGTTTCGTAAAACGAGATTTTTGCAAAACATCGATTTGTTAAACGTGGAACAAAACAAAATTTAAAGAACAAAATCAGATGTCACAAAGATCTTAGGAAGAAGTAATACCATTTATTCTTACCTACTACCCAAAAATCCATGCCACTAAAAAATAATTTCAACTAAGCAAAACTGAAGCAATGCTGAAGATCGCAACAATTCAAACCAGAAAGTCATGTTCCATCTACGTACATGGGCCCCCATTTTTTTTTTCCATTTAGTAATGCTTCCAATAGTGTAAACTCCCCACTCCTGACTTTTCCGTTTATAAACACAAAAGTCAGCCTCAGTTTTATTCTGAAGTTAAACAAAGATGACTGATGTTGTATTTCGTAATGTTTTTTGCAAAATATAAAACATATGAGGAAACTTCGCTTTAATTTGGAATCTACGCATTCACCTTTCAATTTCTCGATGACAACACCACTAGAAAAAAACTAGACCTTATGCTTTCTCGCTCTTTTGGATATTTGAAACGTGACGTGGTTTCGTAAAACGAGATTTTTGCAAAACAACAAAATTTCAAGAACAAAAGCAAAACTGCTTTTTGGTAATTACTGTTGTTAACTTAAGTCCTTGTATGGTTTCATCAACAATTGTCAGTTCGGTGGAAGTAAGGTCATTGTCGTTTTTGGCACAAAAAGGTGTAACGCAAAGTTGCCGAAGAGCTTTTTGTCAATATAAGCCGTTACAGACAAGTCATCGCTTTTGCCAGCCGCTTTGATGACTATATATGGCTTTGCGTTTGCTGGGATTTTTGCAAGTTGTCCATTCCTCTTTGAATAAGTTAGATATTTCGAATCAAAATTGAAGTTGCCAAATTTTTTTGAGATCGTAAAACAACGGTGCAAAAGTCACAAAGATCTATAGAAGAAGCAATACCATTCATTCTTACCTACCTCCCAAAAATCCACGCTACTAAAAATAATTTGAACTAAGCAATATCGAGACTCTACTGGAGCAATGCTGAAGATCTCAACAGTTTAAATCAGCAAGTAACCTGTCAACAAGGTACTCCCAATTCTTTTTTTTTTTTTTCATTTAATAATGCTTCGTCCAATATTGTAAACTCTATACTCCATTATATATCTAAACACACAAACGTCAGCCTCTTTAAAATAGCTCAGTACAACAATAAAATTCACCTTTTTCAACTTAAGTGTATGCAGGTATTAACATGTAATTTGACGCACTTTGAGACCAGTGTTTGGGTTTTCTGCTCATGTAAAACTAAATTCAAATGAAATGATTTATTTTATCCTCACTCGGCTAGGTTTTCTTTCCCGAGCAGTTTAGTGGGGCTAAAGTATTTTAAAATTTTAACTTGAACGCACCATATGCAAAATGGCGGGAAACTGTGAACAAGGACGGCGTGGTTTTCTCAAACTTTCCCGCCAAATCGGCTGGTGCTGACTCGATGGGTTTTTCACCACGGGGGTGGTGAGGGAGGAAATTTTTGTGTCTTTTGTGTTTATGACACCAGCTAGTGTAAACTAGAAGCCTGGATGATCTATACTGGATGAAAATTTGTTCTAGAAAACCGTACCTATGAAATATTATCGAAATTTTTAAGATCACTTCCTCTTGTTTTGCATAATAGTAAGAAACAACAACAGCTCCTTTTACATCTTGTTTCCTAATTTTAGAGCTCGTTTGACGATTCGTTTTAGATTCCTTGGTAGGAGTAAAATTATGCGGTTCAAAACAAAACGTCGAATGACATTGTCCTTCAACGGTTAAACTTGCTAGCGCAAATTCTCCTATATCCAGCTCTCCTTCAATCGAACGTGGTCCCACTTGATTTGAAACTTCAAAAACGTTGACCGATGAAGCCGACATTAAAAGCACTCAAATATTGGTAAAATCTTTGTTGGTCGATTCGTGGGAGTGGCGGCGGCGTTCCAACATATCTTAAGTTGTACCTGCTTGCAAAAATATCGAAAATGAGCAATATCACATGAAAGTACTGCAGCTAATGAATTCCTGCCATGACGGTCTCACAATATAGAGTCAGACCTTAAACCGCTCAGTAAAACATTGTCAACAAATCACAGGTTGGAAGATTCTAGCTGCTCAAGACCTTTTATGTGAATTCCACACTCTCGTGTTTCAACCATGAGCTTTAACAGTTGTAACCAAGCTTTGTTTCCGTTATATGTGTCGTTGTGAGTCAAACGGCAGAAAAATAGCAATAACAATACCGCAGGCTCATTTACGATGTTGCAAAGTGCTCTTCAGTAAAATCTCGCGCTAATATTTTCTGTTATTAAAACAGTACGGTGTTAACTCTTGCTAAATAATGTATAGTGTTTATGTCAAACAGCTTAATTAAGCTGCTGGCTTAGGGAACAACAAATTAGTCTTTTTCTCGCGATATCACGCCAGAGGTCCGAGTATCGAAGCAAATATAATTACTCATTTTTCTTTTTATTGAACGACTGAGAAATAACTCAATTGTGATTGGCTGAGAGCTGGCCAATTTATCGTCAATTTTTAGGCAGGGCGCGTTCGTCATTTTCTTAGTCGTATAATAACAGTAATAGTGTAAACGTTCAAGCAATTGGGGATTGCACTACTTCTAAACGCTCGAGCAGTCTCGAGAGAATTTTCAAATATCACTGGCAGTTTAAATCCTTAATTACACTCGCATTCATACAGTTACCTATACTAACAACCTGGTGCTAATTTGACCAGTAGCATTTGAAGACAGTGACCCACTACCTCATGTTATTGATAACTTTCTGTATTATCCAACTCTCTCTCTCTGTGGTTTTCCGCAAATTAAATTCTGAGAACACGTCAGCTATAGTTTCTGACCAAAACGGTAACTAAACAATAAACAGTTTTGAATTGTGAGTCATTATGTGTTTCAGTCCTTCTGAAATCATGGGACTATAGCTTAAAAGGTTTCTTCAGTTTAATGTGGCGGAAATAACCTTGCTTAGCTTCAAAATTTTCCGGCCTTTTGGCTTTCATTCATTGAAGCAGTCTTTAAATAAAATCGGTTATAATTCTCGAGGGAAATTGCCCATACAGAATCCGGCGTAAACTACACGGTTTATGTAAAGTTCCTCGTTTGCGATCATCGTCATCATTATTGTAAATGTTTCTAATATGGAGAAAAAGGCCGCGTGCTAGCCGTTTCCAAGCTGCCATTTCGGCTGCAACACAGGCCTCGCCCACACTCCGTCCGAGTACTTTTTAAATTGGCGTTTACATTCTGAAAACGCAACAAATGCTTGAATTCCATCCATTCTAAGCCCGAGAAATTTAAAAACGCAACAATCATCGGTCATTTTGGATTTGTGTTTGAGGAAAACACGAGCATGGAAATCACGTGATTATCGTGACGCCATCATTTTCGAAAAGCTCCGTTTTAGAAATCTTTTCCGTCCACACTAA